CTTGGCATGGCTTTTGGTTTTCCCTTCGAGGTTTTGCAGTTGTTTCCCTTTTGCCGATCGGATGCTTGGAGCAACATGATCGCGCAACTTGAATCGATAAGGGGTATACACACCACCCCCGTGATTTAAATTCAGGCTCATGGGGTGCAAGTCAGCAACACAACACCTAAAAACACCACCTAAGGGGACGGATGGGAACCGCCAAGCATACATTCCCCAAAAATCAACCCATCCAAAGGCAGCTCACTGTGAGGATCAACACATGGTTGTTGTTGGGACATATTTCTCCCATTTTTGCTTATTGCGGTTTAGTGGTTGAATTCCAAATCCACTGAACTGTTTTTTTTCTCCGATAATTTTGGCTCCCCAAACCCAAGGTCCAGCCCAGGTTACAACTGATGCGTGAACAACTTCTCGGCGCCCGTTGGCCATTCCAAGCCAAAAAACGGCTCAACCAGAAGGTTCTGAAAGCTGGTGCTATGGTTCCAGGCACAAGCAAATGATTCAGTTCAGTTGCCCAAAGCGAATCGATGAATCGACCGGATCTGAGCTTTTGGTTTTCCCGTTTTCGTCCAATCATTAGTGGAGGTGCCGAAAGGTTGACCTTTTGTTTCTGGGTCCTGGCAAGTGAGTCAAGTGAGCATACTCAGATCGAACAGGGAGGGAAAGTCTTAGGGAAAACGGGCGCCAGCCCTCGCGGAGCTGCAGTACTGGTAATTTATTTAAAGTTCATCGATGGCAAGAAAAAACAATGGTCGAACGCACACGCCAAGCGGCTTTGTCCGTGAACGGCGCTTGCATTGGGAAGCGGAACGCTCTTTCTGTTGCTTTTCTTTCTTTTTTTTACGCCTGGGCTTAGGTGCCTGATTCCAAGAACCACGGGAAGGTGGTCTACAAGAGGAAGGAGAAATCGCAAGGTCTGGACGCCCCTTCCTCAGAGACCTCAGAGAGCTTGGTCCTTTTTAGGGGATTTTGGAACAGACAAATTTCCAACTTGATTCCCAGCTAAACTGGCAGACATGGGAAGGGTGGTCTTTGGCTCCGAACTGGATTGCTGATCTTTAGACGTTTTGGTTTTCCTTTTGGAAACCAAGGTTGTTTCATGGAACCCAAAACAGGTTAAACTTTTTGGAGAGGGGTCAACAGCGACCAAGAAATAGGGACATCTTTCAGCTGCAACGGCTCTTGCGAGTTGGCTCTGAGTGAGAATTTGACTCTAAGTCCTGGTTGATGCAAATGGCAGTGGCTCAAAATGAACCAGCTAGGGTTACACAGGTGTTGCTTACCATGTTTTCCACTTCCCAGGGCAAGCCATTTTGGTCCCGGTTTTTTGAGCCATACCCAAATGGCCCAAATCGGTGTCCCTTTTAGTGGGGGGAGGACTCAGGTTTCAACATGACGGGTCACGGAGGCAGCCAGCCATGGAGTAAAATCCCTGAGGCCATATCAAATGGGGAGCGTTTCGGAGTCCGTTCCCAACCCCTCGCCTCCAAACCTATCCAAGCCACTCATCCTTGAAAGGAAGCTAAATTTCCTCCCCAAAAAAAAGCACAAACTGCTTCATAGTTCTCCCCCCTCCCAATGTTTGCATGATTCCCTTCGCTCTCTAGACCCCTCTCGCTACAGAATCCCAGGACAAACACGATGTAATCTTTGAAACACGTGTTTTTCATTTTTTCTTGTTGGGCGCCTTTTCAGTGGTCTGAAGGGAAACCAAAAGCAGAACCAACCACTGGCCAAATCAAGCAACAAGTCCACACTTGTTGCTTGCCACTAAAATCGTCCAAGCCCACAAATGGCCAAAGTTCCATGATTTCAGGGAGTGAGACCACCTTTTTTTTTTTGGCCCCCCAAAACGTAACGTCGCGCGCTCGCTCGCTTTGCCGCGTTGCTTTTCGCTCGTCGCCGGTGCTGGCTCAGGTCCTGATCTATTTCTGGGACGAGCGTGATGGCCCCGAGCTCTGCGGCTGGTGGTTCGGCCCCAAGGCAGGGCCATGCCGGGCAGCGGGCAGCTGGTTGGATGGGTCTGGATTTTTGTTTGGAGGGAAACCACCCTCTTTTAAGGCCGGGTTGGAAGGGACACCAGGAAAAACGAAGACACTTGTGTGTGCGGCCCCTTTGTTTGGTGGGTTCATGGGAACCTCGGATTCTGAAATGCCGGATTTGGACGGCCAAGGGGTGGCCCCGGGGAAGGGGTGCTTTCTTGTAATCATGGTTGTTGTTGAGAAACATTTTTCCGCATTTTTATCTCATTGTGGTTTAGTGGTTGAAATCCAACCACTTAACTGCCAAAATCTGAAATTGTTACTCCCCTTCCAACCTACCAAGTGAAAGCAAAGCCGTGTTTTTCCCACAGCTGAACGCGTGTTGGGGCTCGATAGGCCCAGATAGGCGAAAAGGGGTGGTTCGGGGCAGCTTTCAGGGAGGATTCCGGAGATTCGGTTCCGGGAATAGGACCTGGTCTTATTTGGACGCCAGTATCTCAAGCCACATGTACACCCCTGTGAGGGGACCAAATGGAGGAAACTGCTAAACAATCTCGGGTCAGGCGTGAATGCTTTTGGCAACACTTTCTGGCGTTTGGTTCGATTGATCGAGTACCTGCATTGCCAGTTATTGCAAACTTGGTTCAAGCAGCTAGACCCCGGCCGCAAGGCAATCCAAGAAAAGAGCCTTACCTTGTTGGTTCCCAGCCGTCCGGTTCCTTAGGTGGTTAAAAAAATCGTGGTTTACACAACTTATACGGGTCGTTGGCCCAACCCTGGACAATTTACAAGCTCATCTCTTTCAGGTAAAACAAGCTTGACCAGCTGTATGAAGTGCGCTCTTTTTTGAGATTCCAAATGTCATGGTCGTAGTCAGCTTACATCAGGCCATTTGTGGGTGTGCTTTTTTCAAGGGTTCTCCCACCTGGTTGGTTTTAGAGGGAAACCAAAAGGACACCAGCAATTTTGGGGGGGTCCCTTAACAAAAACGAACCAGCCATAGTTGGACTCGCTTTGGGTTTCCTGTGGCATGTTGTTTTTTGGACATACTTAGGTTGCCAAAGTAAAACAGTGCGGACTTCTTGGGAGCGCATGGGAGATAAGAGCCAGGCGTGGGAGATAAGAGCCAAGGGTATGAGTTGCTTCACTGTTGGTATTTGTTCAGGTGTTTTGCTTGGCAGGGCTGCATCAAGCCAATACAAACGCAGCAACGCCAACCGACTTCTTTTTTTTGTGTGTGTGTTTTGTTTGGTTTTTGGATTCGATTTGGTTCTGATCATTTTTAGCGGGATGCAAACAACAAGTTGGTAGAGCCAAGGAATTGGAGCCGCTTCGGTTTCCAAGCGGGTGAAAAGGAGGACGAGCAAACGATAAAAACCGGTTCACCGGTTCTACCAAATTGGGCCTGACGAAAGGTTTTGGCAATGCCATTTATGCCATTGTTCAGCTTCCGTCCACTTTGCGGCTTGGATGGTTTTGTGTGGAGGTTGTGGGTTTACCCTCAATAAGAACCAGCAATCCCTTTGGAGGTTGTGGGGGCTGCCCATTCACCCTCATTAAGAACCAGCAATGCAAAAACTAAGTAAGGCCTACCGATGCATTCTACATGCTTCTGTACGTTCCTTGTGAAGAGGCCTTTCCCCGGGTTCCATGTTCATGTTGACCGGCGCTACCAAGCCCGCTCCCGCAATCTCTGAGGTTGATCAGGTATCGCTCCCCCTCACATAGTCCAGACAACCCGTTTGTAGCTTCCAGCGAGGGCCAAGACCACTCACGGGGAGTTCTGTATTGGGGGAGGGGTACCCTTGATGAGCTTGTCAAGCCTGATTTTGTTTAGACAAGATGTAGGAGGAAAGTTGATGTTTCTGCCAGCGCCTTGTCCCATGTCCAAACCCCCAAGTACGATACCAAACAACCCTTTTGCCCATGTCCTGTTGCCGTCGTTGGGGTGGTGGCTATATTGGTTTTGAATGTGATTTGAGGCCTCGTGCTTCCGCTGGCTGATTTGGTGGCTCAAATCGGCAGAGCCCGCGTTTAAAAGCGGGCCATGAGCGTAGGATGGTTGTTCGACAGCAGCAAGCTTAAAACCGGCCAAATAACAACCACCCAGACAAGCTTTAACTTTGATTTCCTGGCGGTGTAGAAAAGAAACTATGTGACAATGGCATGCCACACGACACCTGAGACAAGATGCAACAGCTTTCCCCGGTTTCTGGACCTGATATCGTTTGGAAACATCATTGGTTTCCATCTACTTAGGAATATGTGTTGCTTGTTTCAATTTCAAAGGGGACCTGTTCCTACTGGACATGTTTTTTCCCAGACCCAAGCAGATGCCAGTTCTTATTTGGAAACAAGAGGCCGGAACTGGTACCAGAATGCCCTCCAAAGGTGGACTCCCGTGTTTCAGCATGGCACCCGAACGTGTGGCTGTTTTGGTTCGGGGGTATAGGGCTCACTTCCTGAGTTCAACTGAACACCTTTGTGGGAAGACCACTTTGGCAAATACAAAGCTTGGGCTTCTTGTTGGCCCGGCTCAGGAATTCTTGACCGTTGGGTTGGATCTTTGGACTGTTGATTTTTGGGAAATCAAGTTGGGTTTTCCACTACACCCTCAAACAGTTGTCAACTTTTTGCAGGGGGGTCGTTGCAGCAACCAAGAAGTGAGACTATGCCATTGGCAAGCATGCCTCAGAAACTTCAGCTCGTGCTGTTCACCCCTACGTGCCAGCAGCCAATGCTCTTTCCCGGGGTATTAGGCAGAGAGAATGCAACAAAGGAGCCTGGAATAGGAAAGTGAACTTAACCGTTTTTGGCAAGTGTTTTTGTTTTTGCGGTGTTTGGTTCGGAAGCTGATGTGACTACTACTGGAACTTATTTTTTGTTTCTCGCACTTGCCAGGTGAAATCGCAGATGAACCAAACTTCAACAAGGGATCCCTGGACATTCAACATGCCGTCAGGGCTTGAGCTGCCAAAAAAATCGCCAAGTCCACACCCATGGGCTGTGAAGAAA